ACATTCGGGTATAGCTCGGATATGTAAAAGAAAATGCAGATGCAAATATGTTGACTTGAAATCCAGTCAGAATGTATTTTGTGCGGTAAATGATATCGTTTGTCTAGATAGGCAATAGTACTAAAATAAATATACGAAGTTGTGGCTCCGTTTTATATTGCTTTTATTTCATTATTATTAATGGATTTGCGCTTGATCTTGCCTCTTCTGATGGTAAATGATGGTAAGACCTAGGATGTAGCGCGCTTATCCAGAAAATACCTATTCACCATAGATTTGAATAATCCGGGAGAAGATATCTATTCATTAATTTTTTAGACCCATAGAAATAATGGGTATCTTTATCAATTTCAAAAAAATTGTTCAGGTTTGTAGCGTAATTTGGTATTTGAGAATGTCCTAATGATTATAAACCTTAACCGTGGACATTTTTTTTTCGGTCTACTCTAATGCTGTTGGCCGCAGCTGTCTTTTACAGCTTCACCGGACGTTGTTAACCCTGGACAATCTACACAGCGCTATATATTTTCAAGTAGAGGTTGTGTCATGGGTTTGTTTGTTTGTAATACTTTGTTGTACAATAATATAATAAATAAAAGGACACAATTGACTTAGAAAAAAAATAAACATGCGTACAATGGCGGAATTATCCCAGAAGAGGGATTTCTTCCAGTCAACCTTTGAGTTACTGAGAGGAATTGCGCAGTGGTGGAAATAGATACAATAAATAATACGGGTCACAATGACATATATAGACAATAATATACACAGAAAATACACAAATATATACATATACATACTGGTACTATGAATATATATATTTGTGTAAATGCATTTGCATTTTCATTTATAATTTATGTATCTGCAAACTTATTTATAGATATAAACTATTTTTTAGTGACTTTTCAGTCCCACTATCGTAAAATCAAACAGAAACATTTGGCGTAAACGTACCTTGACACAAAGCATAGACTTCGTACCATAATAAAGCATTTTTGATCTGTAAATAACACGACCCAATAATGATAGGGAAATCATCGTCGAGTCGTCCTTCAGCGGTTTGATTATTGTTAATAACTAACATTGTGCTCGTTACACGGCCGTACCTACAATTCGCATGTGCGAATAATTCCCACATGAAATAAATTGTGCTTCATTCGATTGGCGAAACAGTAGGAAAAATGCGCATTACCTACCGTTTGTTTTAGTAACCTTTCATACATAGTTGTCAAGTGTTTTATGATGTTTACCTACATACATTTAGTGAGTTATTGTATGTTATTGAATGGTAACTATAACGTCTCTAATATACCAAATGTGACGCCATTCCTCACTGCCTAGTCACCTAATTTTCTGCATATTGTAATGTTATTAAAAACGTCTTTGCTAGAAGTCAATTAAAGAGCTGTAATCAAAACAAATAGAGAATCATTTACTCATGTCGGACATTTTAGACTCTTATGAACGTCAAGTTTTTTTTTTATTAAATTTTTTCCCTGCTGTCCAGTTTAGCATATTCAGTCCAGATTGAATTGAGACGAACTGGCAAGAACTCAACTGAATTTCTTTTTTTTTAAGTTTATTTACAGTCCGTTATACTTATATATGTGACAATATCTTTAAATAAAAATCCTATACTTGAACAACTATTGCAATGCATGTTTGTAATTTAAGTAGCCTTTGCTAAATGAATATGTTTTAACAGTACTGATTACATATAATAATGTATATCTCATCGATAAATGGGTAGGGCAATATCTTTCTATAAGTAAGGAAGATATCTGCCTCTATCATGATCCACATTTTTTTCGGCATATAGTAATTGTGTAGAAGACGATTTTATCCAATGTTGTCTATGAAAGACGTTTTAAATTTAGACTCCATAAGAAATCTGGCTTGAAGGTAAAGTAAATACAGAAATTACAGAGGTAATTCTGAAACCAGTCCAGATAAATTGACACGGAATGTGGGAGGGGTTTGGAGCAGTTGAATCCACTAAAAACTGGTTCATATATCTGAAATAAACAACTCACTCTAACTGAAGAAAGCAAAGACTACCTACTGTCTTCTGTAAGTGAAAATTTTGACAAAAAAAACAACTTATTTGATTGTAAATTGTTGCATGTTATCAACCGTTTCAAAATGAAGGAGACGCTCAGTTTGACTGTATTTTAGTGTTTTGTTTCAGAACTTTTTCCTGTGATAATCTATTTGAATGATGGAGTTTCTCGTGTGGTCCTTTTGAGTTCAACCGCCAAGATTACTTGTTTCTCATTTATTTACTAGCTGACCTGCGCGACTTCGTCTAGATCGCACTTATTATTATATATCGCCCAAATTACATAATATCTTTTTAAATTACAGCCTATGTGTTATTCTGATATATAAGCTATGTTACTGTAAAGTCTCAAAATCTGTTCAGTAGTTTTTGCGTGAAAGAGTAACAAACATCCATCCATACTCACAAACTGTCGCGGTTATAATATTAATATTGCTATTAATGTAGGTTTTTTTGTATGAACTCATCATTATTAATCCGTGATATATATACATATGTACTGAAATAATAAGTTTATAAGCGTTACATTTAATAAGTTTTTTTACTGCGTTATGATACTAATTCCTACTAATAAATTATATAAATAACTGATATAATTTGTAGTTATTTATGTACGGATCTTTTACGATATCAATTAGATATTTATAAATTGGCTGTAAACATTAAAAACATTGAAACGACCTGAGTCTTAACCGCAAACAGATAAACATAAAATCTCCCCAGTTCGTGAATGGAATTATTTAACTTACTCATACTGTGTCATATCTTATTTAAAACTAGCTGTACCCGTGACTTCGTCCGCGTGGAATTAAACCATATTTTTTTTATATAAAGGTAGTCCAAGTTACTCGTCATTTCATCGGTTACCTGCCAATAAAAGTCCCGTCAAAATCGGTCCAGCCATTTATTTTACTTAAGATTAGCCGGAACAAACAGACCGACAGACAGACAAAAATTGTAAAAAATGTTATTTTGGTGTATGTGCCGTATTTATATTCATATGCATGTAGTAAAAAAATATTATTTCAATGTTACAAACAGACACTCCAATTTTATTTATATGTGTAGAATATAGATGGAAACATTTTTTTTTAATTTTGTTAAATATCTGCCAGCTCTTTTGGCCTATTCTTTTTAATTTAAATAGATTCAATTATAATACTATTTTATTGTCGGACTCCTGTAAATACAGTTGGTAAAGTCGTGGCGTGGTACTTTACAGCTCTGACTTATACTGCAGAAGGGTACTTTAGTAATGTGGATAAATAACTCCATTGCTAGCAATGTACAATGTCAGGTTGACCTCCACGCGGTTCCCCCCGGAAACCATCAAGTTGAAATCAAAGCTAATTTGCCATGGTGGGCTCATCATGTGCTAACTGACCTGACCTCATGCTCATCTTATCATCGTCCACTGGTGCCCCGCCAGCGTATACCGTTAGCACAGACGGGTGTAGTACGCGTTTTCGTCTGGAAATCATCATGGTCAATTGCCATTTTTTTTTGGATGATAATGGAATGGTGTCTCCGCGTGCGCTAACGGTTTACGCTGGCGGGGCACCAGTGGAGGATGATGAGATGAACATGAAGTCAGGTCAGTTAGCACATGATGAGAAATTCACCAGGAATTTATCACGATGGTTTCCAGGAGGAACCACGTGGAGGTCAACCTGACATGGTACATTGCTAGCAATGGGATCATTAGTCCACAAAACCCTTCCCCCAGTGTTTTTTTTAAATAGTATTTATATATATATATATATAGTACTAATCTAAGGAATAATATATTATTCCCGAGATTAGTACTATAACATAAAAAAGACAAAGGAGTCTATAATATTAGTGTAGGACAAAAAATATTTATTGACGGTTCATATTGTAGGAGTTGACTGTTTTTATTGTGGGAATTAATAGTTTCATTCATTTAATTTCATTTATTCACAACAATTTACATTATGTTGAATTTTATTACATATCAAAATTAATTAGTACTTATTATTAAAAATATATATACTATATATATTTAATTAGATGTCTAAAATAAATACATGTCTAATAAGTAACGATGTAAATTTGTATAATAATAAATTTAAATAAATCCATTCTTACATTTGTTTTATAATTCATTAATTGTATAATAACACTTCTTTAATAAAAAATCCTATTAGTTTGAAATCATCTTAATAAACTTTTTAAATTTATAACCAACTTGTTATTATTCTGGCTTTATGTCTTATTATTATTTCCTCCTTTTTTTTTTATCGAATATGTAATATTATGTTAAGTAGTATGTATGATTTTGTGCTGTGTAAAAGTAAATGTTAATAAATGAAATAATATGCACCCTGGGAAGATATGTGACATCTGAGATACAGTATAATTTTATACTAGTTCAGATGGCACAATTACACTTGTATGTTAAAATTATTGACTCTTATGTACAACTTAATTATGTAACACAACCTTTAACTGCAATAAATATTATTATTATTATTTTTTTTTTTATATTATTTTTTCTCGACTTTCGCCGGTAATCTTGGTATGTACGGGTTTTTTTTTTTTTTTTTTTTTTTTTTTAACTTGGAGAAAATCCCTCATGGAGACCCGCCGGCCCCGGGGGAAGCCCGCGGGTACTGTGAGACTCCTACTCACTAAAAACTCCAAGGTATCCCGACGAAGCGCCTATAGCCGGAGTCGCGGGATCGAATGTCAGTCCACCGCAACTCCGGCGGCGTCGGCCCGCTTTAGTTTGCGGGCCCCTTCGCTTTTATTTTGGGTGTCCACCCCACCTCTCTTGAGAAAGCGCGCGGGGATACGCGCGCCACCTTCTCGGGCTTTTCTTGGAGATGCCACCGCCCCCGCGGTGACATCTCAGGCCCTTGCGGCGATCTGAGGCGCCCATGCGCCCCTCCACCTCGGATCGCTTTGGATGGAGCCACCCTTATTGGGCGGAGTCCATCCTGCTCGGCCCGCTCTCACGGTTGGGGGCTTTGGGGCCCGACCGTTTGCCGACACCTTTACCCTTGGGCGGGGAACAGTTCTTCGCTCCCACCCAGTGGTCTGCCGGCCTGCCTTTAGAGGCACACACCACACACCGCGGCGCAGACGCGCATGAGGCCGCCTTGTGGCCGCTCTCCCCACAGCGATAGCAGAGACCGCTGCGATCCTCCGCTTTGGTGCACTGGGCGCGCACATGACCCTCTTCTAGACAGCGGAAGCATCGCAGCTGTCTCTGTCTGAGCAATTCAGCCCGAACAATCACCCAGCCAACTTTAAGTTTTGCCGCGGTGGTGATGGCCTTCACCGCACGTATTGGGGCGCGGACCCAGCAAGCCCCCGCACCGGTAGGATTCCTGCGAACGTCCCCCACCTTAACGTCCTGGACCTGGCAATCCCCGGCGCTAGCAATGGCAGCGGCAATCTCCTCAACGCCAACGGAGTCGTCCAGACCCATTAGACGCATTTCCGCCTGTTTAGTGGGCCTGGAGACCCGTGCCACCTCCTCCGGGACAAGTTCCCGGAGCTTCGCCGCTAGGGCATCCGCCTTTTCCCCGCTGTCAACGCCGGGGATCTCCAGAATGCGGCCACCCGTCACGGCGACTCGCAACCGGAGAGCGTCTATCCCCAGGGGCCCCAAGTCAATCTTGGATTTTGCCTCCCTGAGGATATTCGCATAGGACGCTCCCACTTTCTCAGCCTGCGGGTCCATCGTTATGATGATTGCCGCAGAGCTAGGCGGCCGCAATTTGGAAGGGGCCGGTGCCGATCTTTTATTCGGCTGCTTTCCAGACGCCTGCTTTTGGGACTTCCACGGCTCACCGGGTAGCCCCTCGGGGACACTACTTAGTTTGCCCCTTTTACCTTTTACAACCGTGGCCCATGACGTCGTCGGAAGTTCCGACTGCGCCACCTCCTCTCTGGGCCCACGGTGATCTCCCTGAGTGAGGGCCTTTTTTGGCCCTGGTCCTTTGGCCTTGGTTTTCGGGCCAGCTTGGGCATTGGGGGCAGAACCCCTAACTGCAGTGGCAGGAGCGGCCTGACCGCTCTTCTCCTGCATTATGACCGGTGGTGGAACCGACCCCATCTCCGGATGTTGGAAGGGATACTCCCTCATCTCCGACATGAAGGACGACAAGCGGTTTTTGACTATGCCGTCGACGTCCCTCATAATTTGTGCCCTCCAGGCCTTCATTTCAGATCCCACCACCGGTCCCTGAACTTCTCCGGTGTTCGCGGCGGGAGCTTCCGCCTTCTTAGCCGCCCTTACGGCTTTGTTCTTCTCGGCACGGAGTTCAGCGACCTCCCGCTTGAGAAACTTCACCTCCTGCTCTAGCCGAATGTTTTGTGCCAAAAGTGGCGACGCAAAACTCGGGATTAAGCTCGCCTCTAGCGCATCGACCAGCCGTTTGATGCTGGCCAGCCCATCTTTCATCGTTTTGACGCAGGTCCCTTTTATATTTGCTGATCTCCGAATGACTTCGGTGATCTCCTCCGCATGCTGGTAGACCTGCATCCTGACTGACCTAATAGCCTGGCTGGCCTCAGCACCGCTTGTTGGGGCGGGTGCACCTTGCTCACTCCTGCGAGGGGGCTCGATTTCTGAGTCCCATAATCGCTCCTGGCTGACGACGACTTGTTTTAGGCCTGCCCTGGCCTCCTTACTCCCATCTGTGGTTATGGCTTTGGATATAGCCCCCTTCCTCTTTGGTGGCAGGGATACCGGTTCAATAAACTTCTCATCTTCGTAGAACCGGTAGCCAAACTCCTGGGAGGGATTTGATACCTTTGACCCTGATGTTCGGGCCTCCACAGCTGCCGAGGGGCTCTGCCCAACCCTTTTGGGGGCCGGAGTAGAACGCCCACTATATTCGGATTCCGACCCTGAGTTGGGATCCGTACGACGTCTCTTCCGCCGCGACGACCTCCGAGTACCTATGGACGACGTCTTGGCATCCTCATCCTCGACTAGAGACATGCAGGAACTGGAGAGGTAATCCGATCCCAACGCCAGTTCCCGCTCCGCCAACTCCAGTTCGCGAGCGAACGTGCTGAACGCCGCCGCATCTTCCGCGCTCATTAGACCTCTCATCTCCATCGCCTCACCGTCCTTAACGGACCCAGCATTTCCTCCGTCCTTCACGGACTCCGTCATCACACCGTCCTTCACGGACTCCTTCGTCACACCGTCCTTCTCGGACCTTTCATCAAAGGGTTTTTTGTGTTTGTCATCCATTTTTGTTCCCACGAGTGTGGGGAAAGGTTGCACAGCCGGCGTTGCCCCCTGCTACCGACTGCGGCCTAATACACTTTGGGTGCGGCTGGTGCCCAAAGGTTGGTGCGCTTGCGGCCGGAGTTACTCCTCCGACCCGGCCGCCCCGGGGAACACGCTAACTGAAAGGAATTTCCAGCAGCGTGCTCCGCGTGACGACCTGTCCCTCGCCAGGCACCGAGCTTAGACAAGAGGTTTTTTATAGAGGTTGACTCCTCGCGGCCCCGGGCAATTAAGCCAAGAGCCCCCGCTCCTACACTGGGCCGATAGACGTGATCACCGACACCCAGTGCAGGTTTACGGTTTGAAGCCAGTTGCATTGAAGTGCTGTCCGGCTGCGCAGTTAAGCACCCACCAGACCTGGCTTCCAGTAGGCAAAGAAGAAAAAGGAAACGAAAACAGAAAGACAGAAAAGAAGAAGACAAAGAAAAGAAAAGACGAAGACAGACAAAGTCAAAGAGAAAGATTTGCCTACTCCTACTCGCCGGACTATCGGCCGACATAGTAGCAGTATCCCGAAGGAACGACTACTATCCCGCCCAGGGCGCACCAGAACCAAACCATTGCTCGGCCACCGTTCCCCGCGGACGTATCCACGAGGATGGGGAAGCCTCCCAATGGATGGCCCATACTTGGAGGTTGTCCGACCACGTCGCCCCTGGTATGTACGGGCCTAAGCCAAGTACATAACAATGTTCTATATCAGGTGGATATACAAATGTAGGCCTAATCTATCTGTAGAAACTTTCTAACAATCCGGCATGTATTTAGAACTACAGCCTTCTGTAGTTGGCAGTATATATTAGGGGGCAAGTTCAGGGTATTTAGTGACTGATGCATGTGTTTCGGTATGACACCTGTAGTTGAGAGGACGATTGGGACTATTGTTACTTTTTGTAAGTGCCAGAGTCGGGTTATTTCTGTTTGTAATTCTTTATATTTTGTTATTTTTTCGGCTATCGTATTATTATTATTATTATTATTATTATATAGTCGTATGGACTGGTGGTGTGAACTCTGCTTCAGCACCTCCAGTGTAGATGACACAGCTGAGTCACAAAATGTTGTCTCCTTGTTCTCTCTCTGGTTTTTCTCTCCTCATCAGTTCCATATTCTTTCAGAGCGCTGTAATAGAACGACGACAAGTACGCGTAGAAACTTAGTACAAAATTTATTTATTGATATTATAAAAAAAAATATATATCAGGACAATTCACACAGCGCCATCTAGTCCCAAGCTAAGCAGAGCTTGTGTTATTGGTACTAGACAACTGATAAATACATGGATACATTCTTTTGGTAAATTAATACATATTATACATAGAAAACATCGTACTCATGAATACAAATTAATTTGTACCGTGCGAGGAATCGAACCCACGACCATTGGATAGTAAAGCGGTGTGCTAAACCACAAGACAACCAAGGCTGTCAATTTCAGCATTAATATGTTATATTTCATTTATGTATTTGACAAACCTGAACCTTCTGTTCTGTTCTGTTCTCATCATCATAGATAGTGCTCTATGTACCTAGAACGCATAATCTATAGACAAATAAAATTGGACTGTCTGTTTGTAATATTGAAATCACCGTTTTTACTACATGCATATGAATATAAATAATGCACATACACCAAAATATAATTTTTTATAATTTTTGTCTGTCTGTAAGTTCCGGCTAATCTCTGAAATTACTGGACCGATTTTGACGGGACTTTTTTTATCAGGTAGCCAATATAATGAGGAGTAACTTAGGATACTTTTATTTTAGAAAATAAAAGTTAAATTCCACGCGGACGAAGTCTCGTGTACAGCTAGTAATAACAATAAATGTATTTATTATGCCACCAATGGCCGATTTGTTAGTAATTTATATATTTTAAATATAAAGTTACTAAAATTCTACTTTTATTATATTATATTTAGTAGTACTACACTAACAGTGACTACAAGTTATTACATCTTTGACTAAGAAGTGTACTAACAAAATGTTGTGTAATTGGTAGGTCAAATTTTTCATCATTTTTTTCAATAGTTGCGATCAGAAGGTATCTAATACAGGATCTTTTATTTGTATACTATACGACAAACGAATTACACTGTTAGCGTGTAGACATATTGACATGCTTTCCTAGATGCAGGATTTAGTTTTAATGTAGTACATAACAAAAAAACTTGGTTATTCGTTTTGATATGAAACCATTTAGGACCATTCCTATTGTAAGAGTCAAAAGACAAAATCTAATCTAAGTGACATTTCTGTGTACTATACCTGTGGCAACACATGTTTTTTTTCCCTTTTATTTGTTTCACAGTTTTTTCTTTTTTTTTATATATACATAGGTACATGCGAAAATTTTTTATGATTAAATTTATATATTACATTATACATAATACACATATATTATATTAAAATATATAATAGATTAATATAATATATATATTATAGTGAATACTACAGTGAAAACATCTATTAAAGAATTCCCCTGTATCAAATCGCAGTGGGAGCCTAAGAAATAAACCTAAATATATCAGTATAAGAAAAAAGAAAAAAAACTGGCAACACATGTTATTGTAATGGTTACAATATAAAACCTAAATTAACCTACCTTTCTGTATACTATATTAGTCACATACCTATTTGGGATAATGTAGAGATCATAATACAAAACCTAACATCTTTCTGTTTACCTTACTGATCTGTGGCCTCAATTTTATGGTAGTCATAACATGAAAACTAACCTTCTGTTTATATCACATTGCCTATGGCTATAATACTTATGGTAATGGTCAAAATACAAAACCTAACCTAACCAACCTTCCTGAGTTACCTTATGTATCTGTGACCGTAATTTATATTACAATGGATATGAAGAGAAACAAAACTGTAGAGGTTGCATATGTTCGCGATCCTCAAGAAGCATACGTCGTGGCTAACTATAGTTTTTGTGTAAATGATCATCCTTTAGAATAGTCACCAGGAAAGGAATTTATATACACATAAGTATCTTGCAAGACAGTTTCCGCAACAATAATAAATCGTAGATGTGATGCAATCTAAAGCGCACTCACAAGTTTTGAGTAGTCATGCTCACTAAAATGTCCAGACTTGTAGCGGCGTGGTGGGCTGGGTCATTGGGCTCCCTAATATATGGTCAAGCGCAGTGCTGGCTGGCTCATCCGTCATACTTGTGAACGGGTGCTCCTTGTAGGAGGGACTGGTCTGCTCTAAACACTATGACTGATTTCCTGTTAATGTATATTCAATATTTTTTCTATTTGAGTGTTTAATTGAATTAGTGCTAATTGGTGGTTTGTATTCACTTACTTATACGTAAAAATGTAAAGTAATAATAAAATTATTTAAAAGAGCAACACGCAAGTTTCTTTCTCTTTCTTCTTGTGTTGAGACAGCTTTCCGAATGAGCGGTAGATTCAAATGTGATGACTATTCAAAAGTGCTTCAATGTAAGTTTATTTGAATAAATGATTTTCTATTCTATTCTATTCTTATAATCGTTACAAGATGTCCCAAAAATACATAAAATTATCCCAGTTTTTTCTTAACAATATAACTCGGCGGCCCTATTAAATTTTCTGTTTTTAATGTAGCCACACCCTGATGACAGAAATACTTCGTCTGTATGTTTGTGACTATTTCTAGTGGTTCCTTAGTACTCACCTTTTACCTTAGTTTGTTATGAAAACCGATGTATAGTGTTACCAGCTAATTCTAACAAAAATAATCTATAGCCATTTTCAGAAAAATGTTTATCACTCTTCACTTTAAAATGTCGACAAATAATCACACATTTTTTTTATCCAATCCCATATTTTAAAAACACCAACGTCAGGTATTTTTGTTTATCACTGGCGTGTGCCCTTAAAACTGCTTTGTAAATATCTCGGACTTTCAGAAACAAATTCAAATGTCACTAAATCGGCGGCCATCTTGCATTATTTTTTTACTTTTAGCCCAAATTACAGCCCTTTCGACGCTCTACGAACGACTGCTTGAACAAAATTGATGCAAGCAAAATTGCCAATGACACCGACTTGAGGCTCCATCTTGGATCTTTCTAACTATCGGAATTTTCTCCTAGATATAAATAAAATTGGAATGTCTGTTTGTAATATTGAAATAACCACTTTTTACTACATGCATATGAATATAAATACGGTACATAAACCAAAATAACATTTTATTGTCTGTCTGTTTTTGTTCCGGCTAATCTGAAATGGCTGGACCGATTTTGACGGGACTTTTTTTGCCAAGTAGCTGATGTAATAAGGAGTATTTTAGACTACTTTTATTTTAGAAAATTCTTTTAATTTAGATAAATAAAATTAATTTCCACGCGAACGAAGTCGCGAGTACAGCTAGTAATTAATAAAATAGAAAAATAACAACAAATTGAGGATGACAATGATTCGATTGATTTTATTTCCGAGTTTCTCTGTACCCGCTTTAGTAATATAAGTGTTAAATGATAAATTAAAAACACAGCTGCTTGATTAATGGTACAGTTATAGACATCAGATTCTGGTGCGAACTGGACAGATACGGTCCTCGGAGTGACGGGCGCCGCATCAGCATCCACATCAATTGATTAATCATACTTGTGAGATGAAAACTATAATAACAACAAAAATAGAATTGTACGTGTAGATGATAGTTTATGATTTACCTATAGACATTACATAGTAAAGTATTCTTAAGTCTTTAATAGTTTATTATTTACCTGTAGGTAAACTATTAATTAATTAATATTAAAGAAAACTATTAATTAAAAATTAAAGCTAGAACGATGAAACATTTTTCTTCAGCTACATTATTACATAGTATAAACAAAGTCGCTGTCGCTGTCTGTCCGTCCCTATGTATGCTATCTTTAAAACTACGCAACAGATTTTGAAGCGGTTCATTTTAATAGATGGAGTGATTCAAGAGGAAGGTTTATATGTATAATATATGTACACCCGGGCGAAGCCGGGGCTATTGGGAATATTGTAAAGAGATATAAAGTTTGTAAGTTTTACGTTCGGGGTATTAGCCGAAACTGAACTGTTCGAATCCGATTTTGCAAATTTCTTTTAGTGTTGGATTATGCAATTTTCGAGAAAGAAATTACTCAAAAAGTTGTATTATATATGTTATATTATTTTATTATATAAGACAATTAACACAGCGCCATCTAGATCCAAGTCAATCTAGCTAAAGCCTGAGTTATGGTACCAGATAACTGATACAAATATATAGATATGTTTTTGGTAAATACCCAGACCGAGACAAACAATTATACTCATGAATACAAATTTGTGCCGGGCAAGGAATCGAACCCGCGACCATCGGAAGTAAAGCGGTGCTAAACCGCTAGACCACGGAGTCGTCATCTAAAGAGAATATAAAAAGGAATTATTTGATGTTTTGTTTGTAGTGGATATTAAAATAGTCATACGTACTGTATTTTGAAAAATCTTTCACCACTAGAGTAACCAGCGAGTAGCGGACGCTGTTTCATGACGGATTCAAATACACTACATACACCAAAATAACATTTTTTACAAATTTTATCTGTCTGTCTGTTTGTTCCGGCTAATCTCTGAAATGGCTGGACCTATTTTGACGGGACTTTTATTGGCAGGTAGCTGATGTAATAATGAGTAACTTAGCCTACTTTTATTTTAGAAAAGTAAAGATAAATTCCACGCAGTCGAAGTCGCGGCGATAACTTGTTGTAAATATAGTGAAGATCTGAAATTTGTTTAGTATTTTCGAGAAATATTCTTTATCTGATTCTTTAGGTGGATGCTCAATAAAAAATTTATAGAACCCAACTTATCATAACTGCCTGAAATTAGTGTTTACCACTTTTTTTCTATTTAGATATTAAAATTCATGTAGGATCTGCTTATGATAGTCAAGTTTCTGTGTAGTCAAGTTAAGTGGCTGGTAGTGATTGCTATTAGCATTAAGTCAGCCTATTGTACAAAATCAATAAAGTTTTAAATAAATAAATATACTATAACTGAATGTTCATAATATATGTACATAAGAGGATACAAAGTTCAGGAAATTTCATAATAAAAACTGCAACCAATTCGTCAATTGGTATCACTTTGTATTTAATTCGAATGCAGTTTGTATTAAATAAAAAGTACATATGAATGTACTTCATATTTAATTCCTACAATTGAATGTTTACATTTTAATTCAAGCTGAATATTTTATATATATAGACCGTTCTACGTACATACACATGGGACACGTGAACGTTGACTTTTTTCAGTAGTTTTTCTGTTTTTCAGCAGACCTAAGAGATCATTGTATTAATGATTTATTGTTATTAATAAAGTCAAACGTTGTGTAAAAGAGTTTTATTGTATTTTTAGGAGTCGTATCGCAGACTATAGTGTAGTCTTCTGTATAGGTTTGTTTCAGATGTTTTTGCTCAATTTTTTTTGACGATATTTTAGTTTATTATATTCATATATTTAAAATTAAAATTCTTGTTGTGATGAATCTGTTTCCGTATGAATAAAAAAAATGTGACTATTCAAAAGTGCTTATATTAAGTTTATTTCAATAAAGATTATTTCTATTTCATGTTTGTGAGAAACGTTTACCAGTTTCCATCAGATGGTTTGTCAGCTTATTTTACATGTAATGGTGTCGAGTCCGAGATGCGTTAAAAAAAGGCTCTTGTATTTGTATTTTTGTATTAGTTAATTCGTGGGGTTAGATTTTTCAGCAATGTTCAGGGCGGGCGTCGAAGCGGGATGCGCCGGCGCAGGCTGCGGCCGCGGCCGCGCTGCCGGCGGGGTGCGCCCGCGCCGTCATAAGGTGCCCCCGCACCTCGCGGCCTTCAGTTGAAGCCGAGAGCCGCTAACGTCAGCACGCCTCCGCGACGCCCACTCTCGCCACGACCCGCCGAGCGACCGCACGCGAGTGTTCACCCGCCATCCAGTCGCCCTTTCTCTCGAGCAGTGCCATCGTACCGCGGTACGTGAATGCAAAACCGGACCGCTCTCATCACGGGACACCTACGAGGGATCCGCAGCTTGGACCTCTGAAACGTTTCAACGGGTGAGTACCACATTGTAAACGGCCGATGCGAATGCTGCGTATGCGAGTTTGCGACGATGGACCGATATATCGGTTTCGGTTCGACTTTCGAAAAGGTGCACACCTCGAGCGGCGCGGCAGGCGGAGGCGCCGCTGCGTACGTTTTCTGCGATCGTCCGCTGCGGTCATTCGCAGATACTTGCATGTCGGGGTACCGTCGGACAGTCGCCGTTCCCCGACCACTCCGACCACTAGTTGGAGCACCAATCGGCCACGGCGCGCCGCATGCACGACGTCTAGCTGCTAAGGTTAACAGCTCCGATGCTATTTGTTAATATTCAGATATGGTGAAGTAATATATACGAAGTCACGACCCGCTCGTCGCCGGTACTCGCGTATTTTGCTAATATTGTATGTGGGTAGGTAGGTACGTTTAAATATTTCATTTATATTGATGTCACAGTGAAAAGTGGCTCTCGATTCGACTCGACGGTCGGTTCTTTTGTTCCCGCATTATGTCAGCGGCCGGTGCGAGGCACAAAAACCTATTTTAATGACTCTACTGAATTGTTGATTTTCATTTAAATATACTATAACATTAAACAACTAGACATGAAAGAATTAAATAACTTTTTTAATGAACGCCTTTATTAAACTATACATCGTAGCCAGAGATTTAAAAAAATGAATTTGTGTTAACTCAACTCAACATCTTATTGTACAATATTTGTTTTTTCCTAATGGAAAAAGCGTAAATATAATTAGATAATAATATATTTGTATATCTCTTTTGTAATATATAAAGCTACATTAGGGTCACTAGACACTAGAGACTATTTGACATAGTCGTTCTCCCAGAAGGAGTTATGGGGGGGGGCGGGACAAAGGTATCTGTATCTTTTGCAAATCAAAAGGAAAATCAAAGATGGCGGTCGAGATAGGGTACTATATGTATGATGACAATTTTAAAGATTTAAGCACATATTTAAGGTATCTCGCGTCCCTGCAGTGAGTCGATGTTTTATGCAAGGGAAATGTCGTACCTAGCCTAAATATCCCCATTTTGGGGTAATTTCGGTGTGAGGATCCAAAAAGTAATAAATTGTTTTTTGGATAAAAAATATATATTCTTTTGCACTTACATATATGCAATAATAAAATATGACATACTTATAAAAAATATGAGCAAGGGTGAGCACTATGAGAGTGATGAGGATTTGCAATAAAAACATATATGTTTTTGTCAACCAAAACTATTTGATTTAAAAAAGAATCATCAACGACGCTTCCCGTGTCTCTCCAGACCCCGGCAGATAAGCTACCTCTTGTCTGTCAATACATTTCTTAATACCATAGTGTATACAATAATGTAACAATACCTACCTCACTATACTATAGTTAGTAGGAGGTGTGCTCAAAAGAGTCTAAAATTATGTTTTTTTCATATTGAAAATAAATAAATAATTTATATAATAATAAAACACCTGGACACACCGCCATCTAGTTCCAAGCTGAACAGAGCTTGTGTTATCGGTACTACACAACTATTATAAATACTTAGATATTCTTTGTAAATACATAGAAAACACCCAGACCGATACAAACAATCATACTCATGAATACAAATGTTTGTACCGTGCGAGGAATCGAACCCGCGACCATCGGATAGGATAGTAAAGCGGTGTGCTAAACCACTAGACCACCGAGCAAAGAATAATCCGTCATTAAATATATCCACCATTAAGGTGGATTCTTTTGTGTCTATACATACATATATCATCCGTCATACTCGTGAACGAGCTGCTTGTAGAGACTGGTCTGCTCTAATCACTACGACAGAGATTTTCTATTTGAGTATTTAATTGAATTAGTGCTAATTGTTAGTTTGTATTCACTCACTTTAACTTAAAATGTAAAGTAAGAATAAAATTATATGAAAGAGCAACACGCAAGTTTCTCGCTCGTTTTTCTTGTGATGAAAGTTTTCTTTCTTTCCGTATGAGAGGTAGATTAATAAAAATGTGATGACTATTCAAAAGTGCTTCAATGTAAGTTTATTTGAATAAATGATTGTCTATTCTATTCTATTCTATTCTATTCTATTACATGTTTGTGTTGCATGTAGTGAAACAAAGTGTGTGAAGGTACGAAACGTGCCTCGCGGCGACTGACCGGGTCCTATTGGTAAATATTACAAGTCTTTGATTTAGTAAGTTGCACAATTGTACATTTTACTATGAATATAATCATAATAGAAACATTAAACACGTATGTATTATTGAATACGTGAAATAATTTAAATTTAAACAGTGTTGCCAATGTTGGTGCTGCACCATCGTTTATGTTTATCATAACTACATACATTGATAATAAACAAGCCATGTCAAAATATATTATGTTAAAAAACATAGTAATTATTATACCGAATAAAAAAATATAACAATAATAAAAATATCTCAGGACAATTCACACAGCGCCATCTGGTCCCAAGCTAAGCAGAGCTTGTGTGGGTACTAGACAACTGATATAAATACATGGATTTGTTTTTTTGTAAATAAGTACATAGAAAACACCCAGACCCGCTACAAATTATATTCATGAATACAAATGTTTGTACCGTGCGAGGAATCGAACCCACGACCATCGGATAGTAAAGCGGTGTGCTAAACCACTAGACCACTGAGGCTGTCTATAATATATATGTATGTCTGTGTGTTCAGACACGCTATACAGAGGACTTAAACGATTTAAATTTGATTTTATCTTATATACCTGTTATATCGGTAAGGCAATATCAGATTTTTCAATTTGATTAAAAAAAACAGTTAATAAATAACAATCGTAGCATGCCACGAGCACAGGTATCAAATAAATATATAAACATTTGTTTGTTAATCAAATTTATTAATATATATTTTCCTTTATGTAATCAAATATATCAAACATTAATCTACCACTAACTGAGTACATATACATTGTATTATTATTTGTTAATATGTACATGTTAATTAAACTGTTGGTATAATGCGTTCACTCATTATTAGTTTGCGGTTAAAGAAACTATCACGGTGTCTGTGTGATTTTCGTAACAAAAACAAATGACGTAAGGCCACGGTCTGCGGTTAGGTGTACACAACGAACAGATGGACACACGAACTCTATTGGTCGCAATAACACACATATCATGAACCCGCGACCGCCCCGGCCGCGGCCTCGCCACGCTCGCAACTTTCCAACAGGTGGTCTGCCGACTTGTTTGCGAATCCAGTTACATACAAATATATTTACTACCAGCTGTTCCCACGACAAATAACCGTTTTTTACTACATGCATATGAATGTGAACACGGTACATACACCAACATTTTTGTCTATCTGTCTGTCTGTTTGTTCCGGCTAGTCTCTGAAATGGCGGGACCGATTTTTACAGGACTTTTATTGGGAGATAGCTGATGTAATAAGGAGTTATTGAGGCAATGATTATTTTAGAAAATAAAGTTAAATTCTGATGAAGTCGCGGGTACAGTTAGTAGTAACTAAAATTTAACAGTTCAATTTGAACTATTTCAAAACGAAGTTGGAATTGTGTTTGCGGTTCGATAACATTCTAGATTGGTAGACGGCTATCAACTACTCGTAAAACATTATGTAATTTCACGTGCCTGCAAACATCGGTACTACCCAATACTTTTACTATTTTATCAAATGACATTATTCATAAATTTATAACTGATATAAATTTACTAGCTGAGCCTAAATATATTTAATATATTCTTTTCACCCGGTTTCTTCCGCATGAAATTTATAGCCTATATAATATTCTCATGTGTAAGCTATTTTACTGTAAGGTTCCACCAAAATCCGTTCAGTATTTTTACGTGAAAGAGTAACAAACATACATACATACTCACAAATATTCGTATATAATTTTAGTGAGATTAGTAAACAGATTACAATAAAAAAACACAATGTACGATACGATGCTTACCACAATACGTTAGTTTTTTATCGGTCTACTCTAATGCTGTTGGCTGCAACTGGCTTTTACAGCTTCTACGGACGATAGGGGGCGAGTGCAGATGGCACTCCAAACTTAACTTATATATGTGTATAAAATTCTCGTATCACAATGTTACTTACCAGTTCCTCCCAAAAAGCTTGATCGATTTTTATGAAATTTTATATGAATATTCAATAGGTCTGAGAATCGGCTTTTTCATAGTTGGTGTATGAAAAATAGATAGTAGTGGTAAGGGTTGTCCACCCCTAACATAAATTTTTATTTTTGTGCAATTTTTTTTAATTTATATTTTTTTATTATGTGTCATTAAAAAATATATACAGCCCTAAATTTTCACCCTCCTAGCATCAACCCCTATTTTTTAATAGCGATTTTAATTTATATGGCAAAACAACGTTTGCCGGGACAGCTAGTATACTTATAAGTGCAGGAATTTCTGCTATGTGCTTAGTAGTTTAGTAAGATTTGTTTTTTTATTTAAACAGCATTCCAGCACCTTTTTTGTATGTAGTTTGGGTAACGATCAGTAGAATTACTTCAGTTGAACGTTCGTCACGAGTTTCAAGAGCTGTAAAAAAACTGAACAAACTTTTTCCTTCTCCAGAGTTATCCTTATTTCTAAAGAAAATGTACACAGACGTCTTTCAAACTACAAAAGCGAATGTTTCTTAGATATTATTTAGGAATATATTAAGAAACTTATATCCATATTTTTCTTCATAATTTTTTTCTTGAATATCTTAGCGAATATGTAGGATACGTTATAATAAAACGTACGAAAATAGATCTTAAACTTACGTCGTTTGAATGTACATACATACATACATAATTAATGCTGTCCATAAATGCGAATGTTTGTGAGTATGAATGCATGGATGTTTGTTACTTTGTCACGCAAAAACTACTGAACGGATTTTAATTAAACTTTACACTAATATATAGCTTATACATCAGAGTAAGCGTGTTAAACCGCAGTCACAGCTAGTAACATATTATACTAG